ATTTGCCATTAATAAACCTGTCCCCTAACATAGAGTTAGAAGTATCTGTTGGCCCCCAAAAAAGTGTAAAATGAACCTACATTGAAAATACTGACATTTCAACAAAATCTGAATCCAAACTCAAGTATGAAGGAAGGAAGGATGGGTTCACAAGGAGATTACTGACAAAGTACAAGGAACATGAAACCAGGTGTTGCAAAAGGTTTAACTTCTTTTGCTTCATAGTTGACACCTACCTTGTAAATTTGGTCAATCAAAGTAAACAGTGTCACATGACTTAATGAGATTAAGGTTGAAAACAACAGAGCCAAAAGGATCTACCTTACCAAGGAGAATGTTTCACATTTCTTAACAAAATTTTCAATCATTACCTTTCTGTCATTGTTTTGCTTTATTAGATCTGTGGACTGAGATATATTTCTTTTTATAAAGCAATTCAATCACGACAAAAGTATCATAGAACCTCAAATATTAATATGTCTTACCTAATGAGCTTTCTGTTTTGGTCAATATATTGCTGAGAAAGCCACTCGAGAAAATGTCAGAAAATGAAACTTCTTCAATAACAGAAGGAAACGTGAGATCTGTACGCTTGTTCGTGTATGGATTTCTACATTTGACAAGCTTTTCTTTCTCTTAAGGCCTGGATTATGGATATGATATTTGACAACATCTCTAACTGATGAATAGCAGACAAATTACTTTCTAAGAAAAATGTCCTAATTGCTTGTGAAGCAATCATAAAAGATGACTTTCAGTGCAGTGATAGAATGGTTTCGTTCATCAGCGGTGTGAAGACATTCCTGATGGCCTTTATATAGTAGGGTCATATCAAATAGGTTCTATGACGTGTGATGAAATGTACGATTTCAAATTCCTAAAACCCATTAAGGATCTAGCAAATAGCATTAAATTATCAAAAAAAAAAAAACCAATATATTCATACATGCATTAAGGAAGAGAAAATCTGGAACCCTAGGGACCCATTATTTACCATTTCTGTATTGAATAGAAACCCTTCATTATCAGAGATCACTTTTAATCTGCCATTTAGGTCTTGTTATCACTTTTTCTGAGAATAAAGTACAACATTATGGGTTTTTTTACTCAGATTTGCTATGTGGACACTTGTTATTTCTGTTGGTTGGTCCCAGATCCTCAAAATTTTCATTTCATATGGAATTACTAGACCTTGCTGGAGTTTAGTTGTGAAGAATGTATTATTTTAAGTGAAAATGAAAATACAAACTTTGCAATTGACTTATGATGATTTTAATAGACAATATGCCTTTTTCTGATGTCACAACTGTATTGTTTCATCTTTAGTGTATATTTAAGTACAGCCAAACTGCATCAAACTTGGTATTTTCAGTGTAACATATAAATTGTAAATAAATTATATAAGAATATAAGTGTAATTGTGACTCAGTGAAAGGGAGACAAATTTCTTAAGTGACACTGTCCCTTTAACTTCATACATATACAGAAATGTCCTGTGTATGCCGTCACCTTCAACAAAAGACTTTTGTTTCTCATCCCTCTTGTATTTCCACAGAAATATAAAAGAAATAAAACTTAATAACTGTTTTTTGGTTTCGAGTAAAGACCCCATTAAACTTTAAAGGTCATCTTCTGTAAATATTTGTACCAAGGTCACCTTCTATAAACATTTGTACCAAGGTCACCTTCTATATACATTTGTACCAAGGTCACCTTCTATATACATTTGTACCAAGGTCACCTGCTATAAACATTTGTACCAAGGTCACCTATATGCATTTGTACCAAGGTCACCTTCTATTACATTTGTACCAAGGTCACCTTCTATTACATTTGTACCAAGGTCACCTTCTATTACATTTGTACCAAGGTCACCTGCTATAAACATTTGTACCAAGGTCACCTGCTATAAACATTTGTACTAAGGTCACCTTCTATATACATTTGTACCAAGGTCACCTTCTATATACATTTGTACCAAGGTCACCTGCTATAAACATTTGTACCAAGGTCACCTGCTATAAACATTTGTACCAAGGTCACCTATATGCATTTGTACCAAGGTCACCTTCTATTACATTTGTACCAAGGTCACCTGCTATAAACATTTGTACCAAGGTCACCTTCTATATACATTTGTACCAAGGTCACCTTCTATATACATTTGTACCAAGGTCACCTTCTATATACATTTGTACCAAGGTCAGCTCATATACCTAATGATATACATTCATGTATAGCTGTCATTGTGTATGGCTGTGAAGCAACTTGTCTTTAACATTTTGTGTTTGAATAAGATGTTTTTCTGTATAACCACTTTATATTCTTCAGGAAATTCAGACTGGCCTTCAGTCCTTGGACATACACTCTTCAGGAAATTCAGACTGGTCTTCAGTCCCCTTGGACATAGCCTTCAGTCCTTGGACATACACTCTTCGGAAAATTCAGGCTGGCATTTGATCCTTCAGTATATAGATATTTCAGGGGATTCAGACTGGCTTCCATCCTTCGACACAATGAATTTCATGTATGGACAGAGAAAATAATTAAGGTAGAGTGTTCATCTTGCTTTGTACATTGTGACATATTTGTAATATTTTAGTCCTTTGTGACATACACAATAGAAATCATTTTAATGAACTTAAATGTTGATTGTACAAAATGTGAAGAAATGCATTTTAATTCTTATACATACATGTAGAGACTTTCTTGAAATATTCAAGCTTAATACTTAAATAATTTTAATGATAGACATTCAGGAGAATTTTTATGTTTATACTTTCACTTTAAGATAATGTATATGTTATTTATTGTTCTAAAGCTGTATTTTTTCTGTTGACAGGTAACATGACCCGAAACCTTGATATTTTGTTACCTGTGTATTTATTGTTTTTAAGTATTTCTAAATTTTAGAATTTATAACTGTATTATTTAGATGATGGGCATTTCTTTTGATCTGTGATGTTTGTTATTATGTATTGATGTGTTTCCTTTATATGAATACCTGGTATGCCTGTGTGATTGATTGATTGTTTTTCTTTAGAAATGAAACAAGTCAAATTTAGAAAAACAAATGTTGAACAAGTGTACAGGGTAAACAAAAACTAACTGTAGAAATAAAACCTTCTAAAATCATTATTTTTTGTCACTTACCACTTTTTTGGATTTGGTACTATCATTTCAATATATATTAACCTACTAGGGGAAATGCCACCTTAACTATTGGAAATGTCACCTTAACTAGTGGAAATATCACCCTAACTATTGAAAAAAGTTTACTAACTATTGGCAGTGTCACCCTAAATATTGGCAATATCTCCCAACAATTGGCAATGTCACCCTAACAATTGGCAATGTCACCCCGACTTTTGGCAATATCACCCTAAATTTTGGCAATGCCACCCTAAATATTGGCAATGTCACCCTAAATATTGGCAATGTCACCCCGACTTTTGACAATGTCACCCTAAATATTGGCAATGTCACCCTAAATTTTGGCAATGCCACCCTAAATATTGGCAATGTCACCCTAAATATTGGCAATGTCACCCTGAATATTGGCAATGTCACCCCGACTTTTGGCAATGTCACCCTAACTTTTGGCAATGCCACCCTAAATATTGGCAATGTCACCCTAAATATTGGCAATGTCACCCTGAATATTGGCAATGTCACCCTAACTTTTGACAATGTCACCCTAAATATTGGCAATGTCATCCTGACTTTTGGCAATGTCACCCTAACTTTTGGCAATGCCACCCTAAATATTGGCAATGTCACCCTAAATATTGGCAATGTCAGTCTATATATTGGCAATGTCACCCTGTGTAGAGAAAATGTCACCACTACTTAAAGACATATCAGTCTTAACAAGGAGAAGTATATGTCAATGACTGAAAGTGGATCGTCTTCATTAAGGGGGAATTAAAATCTTATACTTCACAAAATTGCCATCTAGAAATGAAGGAACTACTATCCTAGGCCGCAAATATGTGGATGTAGTAATTTTTATCCTTCTTTTATGTAAGTTTTATAAATTATCAGAACATTCATATCATCATAAATCTTTTTTATTGTAACCATCTAAACTTTGTTAATTACCAGCAGCTGAGTCAATGTAAAGATTCCCAGCTCACCTTAAGGGCTTATGTTTACTCGATCTCCTTGGAAGTGATATATTCAGGATTGTCGTTGCTGTATAATTAATAGTTATAATTAAATCTAACAACATTGTCAAGGAGGATCATTTGCTCTGCATGTTAATGTTGAAATCACATTAACCAGTATGTTCAGCAACTTATGTCATTCAAATGTGGGCATGTCCTGCATTAGTTGTTTTGTAACAACCTCAGTGACATTTTGGAAATGATGGAATTTCCATTTTTGCATTAGTTACCGGCTCTCAAGAGAATTTTAGAATTCCTACTTCTCTCCAAGGAGATCATTAAACCCCGTTTTTCTGAAATTTGGGGTTGATTATAAAAGATTTACGGAATGTGTGTATTTGATATAGCATAAGAGTAAACTAGTTTTATTGAACAGGAGATCTGTTACACTGTGCCATTAATTTACCTGCCTAGCTATCCTTCTATTAGATTTATTAATCATTAAAGGCAACCTTCGAGCTGCTAAACGTAGTAAGTTGGGATGAAGTCAAACTTTCTTCAAGTTAATGTAACTTGTAACAATAATGGGCAGATAGTAGATTTGTAGATTCAATTAGGTTTTTAATTAGACTCTACCTGTGTCAGTAGTGTTAGGCTAGCTAGGGTGGCATTATACCTCAACCCAACAACGTGTAAGATGTTAACTATACATTAACACCAGTCCACCACATCTCACATCACAGCATATCTACATGATCAATTCAGTCTCTACCTTCAACACACACTTTTCTATGTATTTTAGAAAATATCTACAACAGAATGTTCAATGAAATAAAAGATTTTTATTGTTATAAGCAGCCTAGATTTATGGAGATGTTATGATATTATTCACAGGTATGTCAGCATCCTCACCAAGGGATGCGCTGCTGGGGTGCAGAGGCAGTTACCTCCCTTGTTAGGGCAGCCCTGGAACATGGCTATGATCCTCCTCTACAGTCAAACCTGGTATGTAGAAAGCATTAAATATCAAACAACATTTTACTTTCACAATTGACTATATAAGATGTTAACATTAACAGTATGAAATTTACAGTTTGCTGTTTGACATTAGTATATTGTCATATGACATTAATTATTGTATGACATTGTTTGTTGTATGACATTAATTATTTGTTGTATGACGTTAATGCTTGTCTTATGACATTAATTATTTGTTGTATGATGTTAATGCTTGTCTTATGACATTAATTATTTGTTGTATGACGTTAATGCTTGTCTGCTTGTCTTATGACATTAATCTTTGACTTATGACATTAATTATTTGTTGTATGATGTTAATGCTTGTCTTATGACATTAATTATTTGTTGTATGATGTTAATGCTTGTCTTATGACATTAATTATTTGTTGTATGATGTTAATGCTTGTCTTATGACATTAATTATTTGTTGTATGATGTTAATGCTTGTCTTATGACATTAATCTTTGACTTATGACATTAATTATTTGTTGTATGATGTTAATGCTTGTCTTATGACATTAATTATTTGTTGTATGATTTAATGCTTGTCTTATGACATTAATTATTTGTTGTATGACGTTAATGCTTGTCTTATGACATTAATTATTTGTTGTATGATGTTAATGCTTGTCTTATGACATTAATCTTTGACTTATGACATTAATTATTTGTTGTATGACGTTAATGCTTGTCTTATGACATTAATCTTTGACTTATGACATTAATTATTTGTTGTATGACGTTAATGCTTGTCTTATGACAATTGATCTTTATCTTATGACATTAATTGTTTGTTCTTTTACATCAATTTTTGTCTCATGACATTGTTCTTCGTATAACATTAACCGTAAGTCATATGACATTGATTGTTTGTTATACAACATTAATGGGTTATCATTTGACATTTATTGTTTGTTATAAAACATTAATGGGTTATCATATGACATTGATTGTTTGTTATACAACATTAATGGGTTCTCATTTGACATTTATTGTTTGTTATAAAACATTAATGGGTTATCATATGACATTGATTGTTTGTTATACAACATTAATGGGACATTGATTGTTTGTTATACAACATTAATGGGTTATCATTTGACATTTATTGTTTGTTATACAACATTAATGGGTTATCATATGACATTTATTGTTTGTTATACAACATTAATGGGTTATCATATGACATTGATTGTTTGTTACAAAACATGAATGGGCTATCATTTGACATTTATTGTTTGTTATACAACATTAATGGGTTGTCATTTGACATTTATTGTTTGTTATACAACATTAATGGGTTATCATATGACATTTATTGTTTGTTATACAACATAAATGGGTTATCATTTGACATTTATTGTTTGTTATACAACATTAATGGGTTATCATATGACATTTATTGTTTGTTATACAACATTAATGGGTTATCACTTGACATTTATTGTTTGTTATACAACATTAATGGGTTATCATATGACATTGATTGTTTGTTATACAACATTAATGGGTTATCATATGACATTTATTGTTTGTTATACAACATTAATGGGTTATCATTTGACATTGATTGTTTGTTATACAACATTAATGGGTTATCATTTGACATTGATTGTTTGTTATACAACATTAATGGGTTATCATATGACATTGATTGTTTATTATAAAACATTAATGGGTTATCATATGAGATTTATTGTTTGTTATACAACATTAATGGGTTATATAACATTTATTGTTTGTTATACAACATTAATGGGTTATCATTTGACATTTATTGTGTTTTGTTTGACATTAGTAGTTTGTTGTATGACATTAATACTTTGCCACACAAAACATTCTACCAAATTGGAGAAGTTTGTGTATTAACCGTTTTCTCTGTGGTAATAGTCCTAATAGTACACAGAGCACCCGCTCATCCTCATCAATTGTCTTCATTTTATGAAGGCATTTGAGTTCCTGGAAACAGTCGCCTCATTTCTTTATAAAAACACAGATAATGACGTGTCTAAATTTTTTTGGCAATTTTCTGTACTGTCAATTGTAGTAAATAGGGAAAGAAAAGAAAAGCTCTAACCAGTCGCCACCATTCCTTAACAAAAATTCAGTAATGGGTGCAGTCGTGTAACGCAATCGTGACTGGTATTCGGTACTAGGTTTGGTCTTCAAAGATGAGAATATATGGGTCTGACAGGTTTGCTATTACCCCCACCAACTGCCTGTACACATATAATCAGTGAGTCTCCATTGCTTAGTCTCTAAAATCCAGCACGAAGAGAAATTAAGCCATACTCTGTCTACAATTGGAACTGAAACTGTTATCTGTGATATTGAAGGGAAAACAAGACATGTTTTTCCCAGCAAAGAATGAGTTTGTTACGGGATGATAGACTGGTCATTAGTCACTTCCGTAAGCCACCTGTCAGGTGATTTACAATAAAGGTGTAGCAGTGAAACACCTACAGGCATGTAAAACATACCATCGTAATGTTAGTCAAGGTAAACTAACAAGGAAGATTTAACTCACGGTATGGCAGGGTGTCAACAATGACAGAAATGATAATAAGATGGGTTTTACGAACACAAAACAAAACAAACTCATTATATCCTGGGTAACCCATTCCGAAAACAATTTTTTGTTTCTTTGGCAGAAACACCATATTATGTTATTTCATAATTCCAACCGGTTCTTTCTGTGTTACCTATCAAATATCCAGGATACACATACTTTGGTTAACACAGTCCTTTTTACCGGTTCTTTCTGTGTTACCTATCAAATATCCAGGATACACATACTTTGGTTAACACAATCCTCCTCACCTGTTCTTTCTGTGTTACCTATGAATGTCATCACACTACCAACTTCATTTCTTTACCGATTTTGATAATACTGGTTTTAAAAAAATGGTCAGCTTCAATAACACTGTAGAGGAATATGTGGTTCATGGGTCATAGAGTCAAGGTTACTGTTACTATTTATAGAAATTCAGACAATTGATGTTAATCTGCAGGAAGCGAGTGGCCTCAGATTTGCCTTAGAGATTTTCTAGTTTTCTGTGATGTTTGTGAAGGTATTGTGTAGTGTTGTTCCGATTAATTGAGTTAATCGATTATCACTTGTTTGAGATGTTTGATCAATTAATCGATTAAGAAATCTGTAATCGATCATCGTGATGTATGAAAATAGATTATTTCAACATTTAAATTATTTTCAACATTAATAAAATTATTTTTAAAAAAAACGACATTTGTTTATATTAAAAAGTATTCTGTGCAATAAACGAATAACAAGCACACAAAATGATGGTGTAGGTACAACAGTTTTAGTAATTACGTGAATTGCTGTTAAAACATAACACAAAATACGTATTTAGACTTAAATAATATCCAAAAACAGACAATTAAGAATTAATCGATTTTAATCGATCATCGATCGGTTACACAAAGTTGATGATCGATCAGGAAATCTCAACCGATTCCCAACACTAGTATTGTATGATTACAACGAAGTAAGTTAATGATGAGGATGTTCACTTGACAGCGATTCCAGATTCTTTTGTTTCTACATCATTTAAAGGAGATAAAAATTAGTTTTTGATATTTAAGTCTTTTTTTTTTATCAATTGTTTCCATCCATCAGTGAAGCAGAGTAACTCCTTACGTGATATTGACAACTGGTGGCTGTGAAGACCAGTAATACAGATCTATCATGACAGCCATGCATATAACAGTAGTGAGATAAAGCGATAGTTCATTACGTAGCAAAGAGCTCGCATCCTTGAAAAAATCAGTGAGATCCGAACAAGAAGTTACTCCACGGGTGTAGATCAGTGTAAATGTCTCCCAACCTCTACTTATCGCAGAACGAAGCAGCAGTCGCCTGATGTAACCTCGTCATTAAATCTATCCCGTAAAACAATTACCTAAAATGTAAGGTGACATTTTAAAACTCCTCTAGTGGAATATAATGCATTTGTACAATTTCTAATATGCAGAGCTTTGCTTTAGAGGCAATGTGACAAGTCCTACATCAGACTTATCCTACTCAACGCTCCTATCTACACACATAAACATTATTGAATAGTTAGGGATTTTGATTATAGCTTTCCATAAAAGTTTCTAAGATTAAATGTTTCATATTTAGACTTGAAAATACATTACCCAAGGTAACTTTAACCATATCAACAAAGCTATATAATCGTAATGATTGTTATTGTCTATTAAAATTCCCTTTTTGAAGTAATTTAAAATTTAATCATGATATCTCTTCTGGTTAATAATCTCCGTAAATAATGTTTTCGCAAGTATATGACAGTGCTGTCACATCAAGGTAATTGAATCCAAAAGTGAAATTGTGCTGAAATAATTCAAGGTTATTTTTCAAAACAAAAAAATATTTCTTGGAAAATAAGGCAAAAACTGACTATGATTTAAAGATTAATAGTGATACCAATGTTTGATGCTATTAAGATGTTCCCTGAAACCAATTTATAGACAATATGGTATATGTGAGGTCATGGTGTTGCTATGATGGTTCCAGGTCACATATAACAGGAGGATCACACAGCCATTATAAAGGTGTTTGATCCTGTTTTCCTTACCATGGACATGCTGGACAACAAAATTTTAGATAACAGCCTTTTATCTGTTAAACATTATACTCTACTAGTACAAGCCAATGAGATGAAAGAGACAAACTGTTATATGTAAATATTTAAAGTAAACAAGTCATCATGAAGTCCCTTACATGGTTGATATAGTAATATGTCCTACACACAAGTATACTTAAAAAAAAAATCAAGGTATGACTATCTTTATCAAATATCTTCTTTGTTTGGATATCTTCTTACATTCACTGATCAAAGATATTGATTTGTTGAATGATTTCATAAATTTCTGTATGAGAGGAATGTAAACAATAAGAACATTCTGCCACAAAATCCTAAGAAGTACACATACGAAATGGCCGGGCCTCATCGACAACGCCTTGTCATGTTTGTATTAATTACCGCATTCGGATTGGTTCTTGTTGGCATTTCCAGTGAAATTCAAACTGATACAAACACACACAGCCTAACTTTGAATGAAGTAAACCATTCATAAACAGTCAAATCTGACAGGCAAAAGTTACTGACTTACTTAATTTAAGATAATAGTCTTTGGAGTAGAGTTTTTTCCTGCTCCAGGGGGAATAACTCTGATTGTATTAAAATTCCTTCACTGCCATGTGATAAATCTGATGACACAGTATCTACACATGTACAAATAAATGATGTACATTTTATCATGTTTTAAACAATTTAATCTTTTAGAAAAAAATTATGTTTTTGAAGATTTTTTTGTAAGTTTTGAAGTTGTGTCTGCTGTATTAGATAGTGCTTGTCATCACTCCCTCTGGACCTGAGCAGTCTTTTCAGTTATACACATAAACAAAAATAACAGCTCAATATAAGACTATATCTTCTGTAGTTCTTAGTAGTAGTTACCACACATCATACAATATGTTTTAATTGAAATTTGTTATATTGTATGTTTTTGTTGATTTCATGGAACTCCATAATCCACGAATCCATATGTCTGTGACCTTTTAAATTAGCATAAGATTTATTGAGCTCTTTTTATCCACAAGATCAAATGTTCACAAATTTTTTTTCCAAAACCACAAAAATCGAGCCTAACTAAAAATACAGGATTTTACAGGGTTAATCATCATTATCAAAAAGCTTACAAAAAATATAATTTCAAATATATTTAGAGTCATTTTTTTTTTAAATAAATTTCTTTAATAATCATCTTTCTAGGCACAGAAACTTGTTTTCTATGACTTTCTGTTGTGGGTTGGAGTTTTCGCAGCCCCTGAGCAGGAGGATCATGATATTCTTATTAAGGCCTAAGATCGATATTGATTTTTTTTTCCATATTAGATGTGTATTTCCTGCAAAATATATTGCATCCTGGACACATAATACATCTCTGTTTCTGTACAGATATCTGAAGATATATTTATTCATATTTTTCCATAGTTGCATTGCATTCAAATGTGGGTGTATCACATACCAGAAGTAGGTTACTGTAACTTAAACGTGACCTTTCATTTGTTTGAAGTAATTGTTTCTTTCCATACCACACCATGGAAATACGCATTCCTTTTAAGTTTTATATCTCAACAAAATACCTCTCAGCTTCCAGTAAAAAACGTGGATTTCTGTTGTATGTTTTATCAATAATATGGTTAGGACTGTAACTCTATCTCGAGCTAGATGATAATGAACAGTACTCACTTAATAGATATATTTTACCAAGTAAAAGTATTGGGGACCAGGACCACTAATCACCTAGTGTATAGTGTATTATTTGTGTACTTATTAATTACTCCATTCATATTTAAGTTCTCTGAGGACAGTTAGACTTATTAGCGTAATCTAAAATTCATGCAAAAAAAGTTGTCCTTTTGACAGTGACCATCTACAAGTTGGAATATCATGGAGCTATGTTTATGATAAAACATGCAAACACTGAATTGTTGTACTGTAAACCAATTTATTTCGACGTGCAATTAATTTTCACACACATCTTTCGCAGGCGACTGAAATTTTACAAAAATTAATTGCTGTGAAATGGTTTCAATCACAGGTAGAGTAGGCCTATACACTGGAGTCTATGTTTCCAGTCAACTGATGATACAGCTCGAGAAATAGTGATAATCTCATACAGTAATTTCATATATGAAAGATAATTTACACTTGGCAATAACAACACAAGCTTTATCTACCTAATTTAAAATAATGCAAAATGAATATCTTATAAATCAGTAACAAAAGTGCAAGATTTTGGCTTGTCTGGTGTAAAATTTTAGGATCCTTATGTTAGGCTGGACTTGGCATTACTCAGTGAAACTAACACACAAAAGTGTGCTAACTTTGTATAAATGCCAGCTCAATAAGAAAAGACTGGCATACAAAAAAAGGAGTGAGCACAACTCAGTTGTCACAATACATTTACATATATTTGGTAAAACATGTCATGTGAAATTAGCCATTATTAATTCATCTGACACTTGAATTAGACAGACAGAACTGAAAATCAGTTCCGAGTATCCAAATTTATGACTGTAAACCACAAAATTAAATCACCAGGAAGAGTAATTACACATTAAGAACAAAAAACTAAGTTGCTGCGAAAATTAATTGGTTTACAGTATGTGTTGTATTGCAAATTATAGGATGGAAAAATTTAGTGCAATGAATTAACAGTGCAAGAGGCTTATATTTAAATAACAGTAAAATAAGTACATATACAGAATATATCAATACTCAGTAGTCCAGGTTTTATTATCTTATTCAAAACAAAGATATAACCTCAAACATCCAAACCATCATGATCATCTGATTCGTCTTCTCTTAAGAATTAGCTATGGACATAATATAATGGAAACCAATTTATAGAAATAAAATTATGATCAGGGATTGTACTTCATTAAATCCTGTCACCATATGTACATATGTATCATGTTTAACTTAGAGTAGGACGGTTCGTTTCCAAACTTGTTAGAATCTAGACAATACAAAAGGGATTGAGATCTAAAGATATCTTCATAATAGAAAACGGAAAAAATCATAGAAAAGTTGTGTGTTTAGCAAAGTTTTGTAGTTGCAACTGAAATGTTTCTCAAGGAGATAGCAACACTAAGATGTACAGCAACTTTAAAAGCAAATAATTAAATGTTCTCAAAACATAGTATAAAATATAAATTCTTGTCAACCATTGTTCAAATTTCAAATGTAGATGTTTTGTTAATCTGTCTGTAACTATGTACTAAGTACTGCTCTTTAAGCCTGTCTGGTTCATGTCATCTTAAATGTGATGTATATCAACTGATAGCAGACACACTAACAAAACAGATTGACGAAGACTAGGGTCACTTTTAAAATCACCATATCATCAGGATTAGTTTTCTACCCAATCGTTTCCTTGCGAAAATTTTAATTGTTGTCATTTCTAAAACATGACAATGATATATTTTACATGTATTCTCATCGAGGAAGAAGGAGACACTTTCCTCCAAAGAACAGTTGGTCTTATTATCCTTGTCCTTTTTCATCAGTCTTGATACATTTCTTTTTCAGTTTACTGTTTTTGCCCAAATTTAAACAATTTTTTTTGTTTGACAATCAGATTTATAATGATGACAATGATAAGTTGTGTGAGACTCTTGATACCACTGAGTTTGTTTAGAGCAAGGTCACACAAAAGCTTGAACTTGTTCATCAACATTTATCAACATCACCATTTCCTGCAGTTACTATATGAGTTATCTCCCCTGTACCACACAAATAAAAAAATCAGTAGAGGTTTTTTTTTTAAATCAATTTTTTTTTTAGTTTGTTTCTGATATATAATGCTCAGCATTTGATTTGTTCCCTTGGAAGCTTTAAAACAGTTTAATTATAATTCCTCATAAATTATAGTCCATCCATTTAAAATCCACATGTATACATTGTATGGTATGTAAACTGTCATTAATATTTGTATTTTACACAGTTTACTCTCATTGACATGTCAAATAGAAAATGAGTATTTTATTCAGTAATTTTAATTTAGGCTATAGGCCTTCCTCGTACTTACCAGCAAAAATACTAAATAAAAGAAAGTGAAATAAATGGCTTTGTTTACAAGTGAGCAGCCATTTGTGCTTTACCTGACTTGGATTGATGACCGGAAATGATGTTCAAGAAACATTCTTCAAAATAAAATATCTCGTTTAATGGTAGTTATTTGGTAAAAAAGATTGTTTGGTCAAAAGTAGTAATTTCTCTTTTGATTTTGTTACAGAAACTTCAGATGTCCATCCTAGCCCCCCTACAGGAATTGTCAGACATCCTTCAGCCAGACATTAGACAGAGACAGCTAGAGTGTGTCCTACAGATCTTACATAACAATGGGGACACACTTCTGCATGGCTGGCCCCTAATGCTAGGGGTCATAGGTGCTGTTAACAACAACCAAGGGTAAGTCAGGGGTAGTAAGACTGACTGAAAGTAAGTCAGGGGTCATAGAGGCAGTCTCAAATAATCGGGAGTAAATCAGAGGTACCAAGACTCACCAACCAAAGGTAGGTCAGTGATCACAGGGGCCTTTAAAAACAACTAAGTCAGGGGTAGCTAGACTGACTGAAAGTAGGTCAGGGGTTATGTGGACAGTCACAGTAGGTCAAGGGTCAAAGGTTCCATCAAAAACAACTAGGAGCAAGTCGGGTAGTAAAATAGGCCAGAAATAGGTCAGGGGTCAAAGCGGCTATCAAAAACAACCAGGAGCAAGTTGGGGGTAGTAGAAATGGCCAGAAATAGGTCAGAGGTCATAGGGGCTATCAAAAACAGCCAGTGGTAAGTCAGGGTTAGCAGAACTGACCGAAGGTAGATCCATAGTTAGGTCGGTGATGTAACACAAATTTTTAATTATGTTAGTGCCATTTCCATCTTTTCTAGCAGCAAATAATAACCATGAGTTATAATATGTTTAACTTTCATCCTATTAAAATGATACAGCAAGGTGTTGCATTCACCATGGCATTGTTAGCTGTAAGAATAATTCTACTGTACGTTAGATGACCATATTGTCCAGTTTAGATACCAACGTTGTCCATCTGGAAGATGACGTACAAGGAATAACAAATATCCTGTAGTGCCCATACATATTAGTTAGTGTCACGTTACATTACTTTCTTGTTTCAATGAGAATTTCACCCACTTATAGATATGATCACTTTGCCAACTTTGTTTTCAGGGAAAAGCTCATACAGACAGCCTTCCAGAGTCTACAGCTGGTGGTCACTGATTTCCTTCCCATCATTCCTTGTATGTACCTACAAGTGTGTGTGGAGGTGGCAGCCAAATTTGGACTGCAGAACCAAGAATTGAACATCAGTCTAACAGCCATAGGTTTACTGGTAAGTACTGTATAGTTGTTTATTTTCACGCAGCTAATATTTCTGGTTGTCCAAGTTTGGGCTAGTTTACTCTTATAATAATTGTTTTTGTATGTCAATGTATACAGCCACAAAATACATTATGTGAGAGTTTCATTCTGTAGAAATAAGTTTGCTAGGTGTTTGATTTCTCAGTTTCTTTTAACAGCCATGGGTATATATAGTGTAGGTCTAGATTTAGCAAGAAAAAGGTACATGGAATTAGTTCTGATAATGTAGGAAAGGGGCCCAAACTTTGCAAATATGGGACTAAATTTAGAAAGTACAGGGCACAATAAATTGGTGCTGATAATACAGGATAGGGCCTTAGCCAGCAAGTACAGGGCACAATGAATTAGTCCTGATAATATAGGATAGGGCCCTAGCCAGAAAGTTCAGGGCACAATGTATCAGCCCTGATAATATAGGATAGGGCCCTAGCCAGAAAGTTCAGGGCACAATGTATTAGTCATGATAATATAGGATATGGCCTTAGCCAGAAAGTACAGGGCACAATGAATTACCGTAAATATTCGCGTATAGTGCACACTTTTTTAAGCTGAAACTGTCGTGTCAAAAAGGGGGTGCGCACTATACGCAGGAACATGCCATTCCTGGGGTTATCATTCCCGAGTTCTGCATCCGCCATATTGGATTACCTCCCTTCACATAGTTATATGTAAAAGTCGTCGGTCTTATATGATAGTTTGGAGATAAAAACAACAAAAAAATAAAATGTTTTAATCATCTGCCATTCACGCTAGCATTACGGTGAATCTAATTTTTTTTCGTTTGCGGTCGGTCTTACTATTGGTCGGGGCTATAGTAGTGTCTGAATTTCTGCCTCATTTTGATGATGTACCTGTGGAATTCAATGAATCTGGAAGTTTTTAGGCAATTGTCGTTCTGTTCATAAATCGGACAGCCCATCCCACCGATGCCCAAAGTTGGTGACCCCACGACCTCTCTTGATCTGCATGGCCCGCACGCGCAGTTCTGTTGTACTGGCAGCGATGCCGGGATATCGGCGATCGCATACAAAGTTGAACAGCTCTCTCTCTCCATCTCTGGGTGTTTCGCTGTCACACCTATGTCAGCCCTTCTGGTCAGTGGTTGGGAATTTAAATGGTCTTTTCTTTCTTCCGTGCCTTGATATTTCACTCTGGAATGTCGAAGCAGCGACCGGCGGCACGAAACTCCAGTCTCTCGGCGTAGTCAAATGGCGTTCGCAGTTTCCCCATGTTGAAGTCGGTGTAAACAATCTATTATTAAATACCTTCGGATACCGCGGTGGGTACAGATACCATGAAAGATCATGCCTATACTGAACAAACCACCTGCTTTTATGGGGACAAGGTAGGATTGAAAATGTTCAGACAGTTAAAACAACATCATTTTCTGACCAATAGTACATGTTCAGCCCAAGCCGGGTGTCATCAGTCTCCTCATACTCAACGTGGTAACTGTCATTAACCGTTAATTATACAATCAGCCAAGCCGTTCATGCTTGTTAGGTCACCTGGGTAAATTTGTTTACTTAAGGTAATTACATGTGTTAGGGTCACGCTCATTGTGGTTTCCTAATTATCAATGGATCAGACCACATCAAATGTTTCGTCGCAGTGACCAGTCAATTAATTTTTCTGTAGATTTTTTTTTTTTAAAATCTGATCTCCAAAAGTACCTGCGCACTATACGCGAGTGCGCACTATACGCGAATATTAACGGTAGTCCTGATAATATAGGATTGGGCCTTAGCCAGAAAGTTCAGGGCACAATGAATTAGTCCTGATAATATAGGATAGGGCCCTAGCCAGAAAATTCAGGGCACAATGTATTAGTTCTGATAATATAGGATAGGGCCTTAGCCAGAAAGTTCAGGGCACAGTGTATTAGTCCTGATAATACAGGATAGGGCCTTAGCCAGAAAGTACAGGGCACAATGTATTAGTCCTGATAATACAGGATAGGGCCTTAGCCAGCAAGTACAGGGCACAATGTATTAGTCCTGATAATACAGGATAGGGCCTTAGCCAGAAAGTTCAGGGCACAATGTATTAGTCCTGATAATACAGGATAGGGCCTTAGCCAGCAAGTACAGGGCACAATGTATTAGTCCTGATAATACTGTATACTGCAAACAGACATATTTTAATGGTAATTTCAGCAATTTTCATGCTTGACGCATTCTGCTAAATTACGATTGCACTAATGCAGTATTTTAATATAGTTATGCAGTTATTTTAAGCAAATTCATCATGAAATAAATCTACTTAAATTTGGTAATTCACTAAAATTTAAGCACACCAAAATATGATTCAGAAATCATTTCAAGGGTAAAACATTTTTGCTGGTACATGAAAACCATAAATAAGTCTTATTTCACATTGGATTTTGTTTTCCTGGTTTAACTTAGCCATTAAAACAGGATACACAGTATGGAAGCCTAACAGAAACCAGCATATTAATTATACTGGCTGGTTTAAACTGGACATTATTCTTGATTTTAAATGAATGGATATTCTTTTGCAGTGGAATGTTGCTGACTTTTTCTATCAGAACCGCCAGCGTATCCATAGCGACCTTGGTAAGGATATGACAGATGCTGAGAAAAACAAACTGGGCATGCCTGCGTTTGATGCGCTATGGATGTGTCTGTTTATGAAGCTAGGCCAGCTGTGTGTGGATGAGCGCCCTGCTGTGAGGAAAAGTGCTGGACAGACTCTGTTCTCCACAATATCTGCCCATGGAGGTCTGCTTCATAAAGAAACTTGGAAACGAGTTCTGTGGCAGGTACATGATCTAAATTGTTGTCTCAACAAGTCTCTCCATCATACTGGGACAATTTACAAAGAAACAGTGTATGTGACATTAAAATGTGTGACAGAGTCTTGTTTATCTATGGACTATACAGAGCATAATTGAGACAGCTGGGATCAGAATCGAACTACATGCTTTTTAGCTTCACAATATCCAAGACACATCCAGACATCTTGTGATGAAGTTCTATCAAGTTTGTTCACTTAAACAATCTTGACCTACTTTCAAAGTCTTAGATGAGTAACCAGGAAGTCAAGAAGTCTCAAGTTCATTAAACTCTATTGTACAGTTTACTTTTAGCAGAATAATTTCTAGTGTTGCCCAGAAGTACATTTTACTGAAATTACAGACTTATATATATCAAAATCATGTTAAGTTTTTATTGAGATAGAAATTTCTTTGAAACTATGTCACAAACTTTACAAAGCACATGTACAGAGTAATTGTGTTACAGTTTTAGGCTAGTAATACTGTGACATGCTCTGGCATTTTGTTATCATATCTTGTTCCTTTAAAGAGAATATTTACCTCTGTTGTCTTGACCACCAGGTGCTGTTCCCTTTGCTGGAAAAGGTTCAGAAGCTATCTAGTACTGCGTCCAGGGTGAAAGACGAGGCTGCCACAGGCAACATTCTGATCCATCACTCTCGGGATACTGCAGAAAAACAGTGGGCAGAAACCAGGGTCCTCACTCTGGCTGGAGTTGCAAGGACTTTCAACTCCAAACGCAAAACCCTTCAAACTATAGGTCAGTACCACTACTTACAAAGAATCCTTCCATACATTAAGTCAGTTTCACTCCTAACAATGTATCCAGCCATAATATAGGTTAGTACCACTCCAAACACAAAACCCTTCAAACTAGAGGCTAACTGTATGGTTGGCTTATGTCAAGCAAGAATAATTTGTGCCTTGTGTATATCCACTCATGCTGAATTAAAAAAAAAACAGCCTTACAGATTGATGGACATGTAAACATTCTATTCTTTATATTGAGAATGAATTAAGCACAAATTTTAAGAGAAATATTTATTTAAAACTGATGACTTTATTTTATCTAGCTGGGGATTTCCCAAGAGCTTGGTCACTATTACTGGAATATATAGAGTTCTCTGCCCTTTGTCTCAATGCTGAAGTGTCTCTAGCAGCACTGAAAAGTTTCCAGGAAATTCTACAGATAAATCGTGACCTTCGAGACAAAGGGGAGGGATCTGTAGTAGATGGACTTCCAAGCATGGCTCCTCCATTGGAGGAAATTATAAATAGATCTGAACAAACGAAAGGCCAGGAAGGCGAGGGTCAGGTGTCACTAAGTTCAGACATGGACTATGACCCATCGCTATGGGCAACAGCCTGGAAAGTATGGCTAAATATTGGAACAAATGCAACTAAACCACCAGAAACTGCACCGCGATCTGAGAAGGTATATGTGCCATCACAACCATTTCTTACTGCCTTGATTCAGACATTTCCATCCCTCTTCGAACACATCAAAACAAGATTTGTTGGTGCCGATTTACAAAAGCTGTGCACTGTGTTACGGACTGCGCTCACAGTGCCTGTGCACGGTGACGCCTCACCCTTCATCATTCCATCCTACCCTGATGTAACAATCACGCCGCTACAGGAAGCCACTCTACAGTCCATGGAGGCACTCATCCAGGTATAGCAATATCTACGTAAATGTTGGTAGGACTTGGAACTCCACATTGCTATTTTGAATATGATTAAAGAGATTAATATTTATCATATTCAAACGGTAATAAGCCTATACCTTTTGATAATAATAATATCTAATGCTGTCCAGTAGAATTACAAATTAAAACTATTTCTGTATCCTCTAATAAGCTCGTCTATATCTATTACAGTGGAACCCACTTAATGTTATGTCTGTTAATGTCATTTTCCGGTTAATATCACATTTTCTTGAAACACCAATTTTTTCCTACATATTCTTTGTAATCCAACATCTCATAATGTCACTTATTTTCATGTGGGCAATGCTTAATATCACTTCATTTTGACAACTTTTACAATAAACCAGAAGTCAATTACAGTTAACTGAGGACTGAGTCTATGAATGCAGGCTCTAAGGGCCATACGTCACACCTGAACCCATTATGTAAACATCTTCACTGCCCAACTGGCAAATTTTTTCACATATTGCAATTCCCAAACACTAGATTGACCCACTTACCTGTAAGGTCCAACAAAAGACATTTAAAAAATCAATCAACCATGAACTGTAATTTCTGATAAATTGTGTTTGTTTTGTTTCTTTCTACAATGACCTATGAGACTCCAAACTGCGGCATGTCAATGTCGTCATTACAAATGTCACCATCTGAAATCGATGAGAACACTTCCGATACAAAACTTAAGATGCTAATATGATTAATTTGAATTTTCATGAAATGAAGTCTGAGTAAGGCCTAATTGAACTTAGAAAATTATCACACATGCCCTGAAAAGCTTAAGGGAGCAGCTTACGTCTGCTGACATCTTCAGCACTTTTCGTTCAGGGTAAATAACATATCATATGGAACAAAGAATGAAAATCCAATTGGTCATATCAGAACGTCAACATTTTAATCTTTCTTCAAATCATTTATTACTTAAATTGTCACAAGCCTGGAAAGGTGATAGTAAAATGTTCTGTTCAGTAGCTATTTCAGTGTCCTGTAATAAGCTGACTCCCTTTCATAGTGTCAGTTGTAATCTGTTGGTCCATTGGACTTATGGCAGTGAAGATAGTGTGATCATATCATACTGTTTAAAACTAATAACAAAATCTGTTTAAATGAATCACAGATATATGACTTGATTCAAATTACCAGAGACTGTGATAATATACTGTATTCGGGATGAAGCGTAATTACATTGCCATATATCAGGACATTGAGGAGACCTTTTGAAAGTGAGTACTTTGTTAAACATTGTCATAACTCATGTCAATCATATCCTTGTTGAATTGCAGGCAATACACAATGGTCCAGAATCTATGCAAACTATGTACCCTGATATCTTCCACCAACTCTTGACCTTTATAGAGTACGGGGTCAAAGTACCCAAATATGGTCAACTGGACGCAAAAGCCTTTGGATCAGTGAAAGGGCCACAGGTAGGATTTATTTAAATGTATTCTTCTATACAAATATTCTATAATGAATTATACTATTGGAGGTCTGTTGAAGATGAGATTGTGGTATTCTAGAGATCAGTAACTTACTATGGATGTGTGAAAACCATAGATATCAGTTATACTGCTTACCATCCTCTGTGAATGAACTTTCCAAAAGCAACAGTTTGACTATATATATAAGTTTTACTAATACAAAACTTTAAATAACATTTGCAGAAAATATTTTAATAGTTTTAAGTATTTCAAATGCATGTGTAATAAAAGGTGGACAAGTTGACAACAAAGTGATAGGAACATTGGACAGCTGATCTTCAACATTCGATTGCTAGAGTTTGTAATTATGAAATTTGATTTCCTTTTTCTTTCTTTTGCTATATAGCACCGATGTAACTGGATGCCGTCATTATTTATCAGTATTTTCCATACACCATCATATCTATGTTCAGGGCTACCAATGTTCCACAAAAGGACTTAAACCTTTCCCATTATCAGTTCACTTTTACGTACTTACATTTGTTAACTTTGACATCGTGACCTATGCTTCTATACAAGGTCATCTGTGTTTTGTGTTGATAGGTTGACTGGGTGACCATGAACTTTGTGCCATTTGCGGAGAAGTCTGTAGAACTGGCGGTAGATCTTTATCGGTCGACAGCCAAACATCCAGCTGTAGTAGATTCACAGATATTACAACACATCATTAAGGTCAGTACTTCACTTTGTCTCAAGAACTAGTGAAGAGACAAGTTCAGTATATATGTATCCCAGCTTTGCTTGCCTCATTTTGAGTAACACCAGCTTTTCAAAATGGCCATCAGCAGCCATTTTGAATTTTTACGTTAAAAATATTTTGATGTTAATTCTGAAAACTTTTCAAAGGGATATCATTGGAACTGGAGGAACACATTCATTATAATTTGTTCTTCATGTGCATGCTACCTTTTCAGTGTCTGGATTGTGTCTTCATATGGCCTCCTGGGAATAGCCAGTTTGAGATTGATTAGATGCTTGAGCAGCAATTTTGAATTTTGATAACATGCAGGCATTTCTATTCTAGTCATTACACTTGACATTTTCACTTTAAAAGGACAAATTAAAAACACAGTAATAGGGAGGTTTGATCATGGTACTGCCTTCACCATGATGAGGGAAGAAATAAAAGTCATTTATGGAGGGTGCCAAGAGCCATCTGAGATCTCATGTTTAATGTTCAGTGCAGATAAAATCATATAAACGTTATTTATTTTACAACAAATGCAAAACAAGTTATTTCATCTTATACTAATCACTCTTGTTGGCCCGGATGTAAGCATGCGCGGGGTCTTTTTGTGGGAGGAAACCTGAGTACCCAGGGAAAACCCACATGGTCAGACGGGTGATACTTACCTTTTCATGTCCGTTCTAGGAGATGAACCCCGGATGGCTAGGTGACTGCTCCACTCAACCACCCTAAATTCATAACTTTCAATAAGTTTTTGCTTCTTCTGAAGACTGTTTGTCCTAGTATTCTTTCATGTTCACTTTTATCATATACCGGTAACAGTTAACAGAAGGCAGCTCTTACGAAGTGGTAACCGTTATGTTGACCAAAGTTCATTGATATAACAGACAGCGGGGGACAATGTATCAAGATCGTCAGTGAAACATTTCATAAAGTAAAACAATGATAGAGGTTTCCCACTGCGAGAAACTTATGACAGGTGACTTGTAGTCTTGGTTGGTTGACATTTTTGTCTCCGTGACTCCTCTCGTATCCAGGTATCATTTCACCGACGGATGTCAATGTTCTCGCGATGTGAGGGGTCAACCTGCATCTCCCTCAGAGGGATGGAACAGTCTGTGGCAGTGATCATTTGATTATACTTGTTTTAGAAAAAATCTCCAAGGTCTCATAAAAGGAAGAGTTGGGGGCCTATCTATTTTTGGTTTGTGTTAGTGTTGAAGTCCGTCTAATGTCTTCAGAATAATTTTATTGTTTGACACTACCCCTAGACCCCTGGACCGGCATTATCATGCCTGCTCTTTTTACAAAAAGTCACAGGAGGATCTTTAGTATGCAAGAGTGGACAATTCTCACATGACCACCGTTTAAAGTCCCATCCACCAGACTATAGTTAGTGGTTAGTGGTTAGTTTGGTGCAGGTGAATTTGTGATTACCACTCGTTTTTTTGTTTTCCTATCTGGAAATCTTTCCGATCTTATTGACTAAGCTACAAATGCCTATTGCTCTCTATGATTCCACTCCATTCCTTCTTCATACATTTGATTGCAATACTGACTTTTTACAATTATATATGTGATTTATGTGAATGTGCTGAATCAGAAGGGTCATGATAGGTTTCTGAAGATATGTTTTACATTGAAGTAGAAAGTGTTATGATAGGCTGAGATTATCAAAGATAGATTTAAGATTTTGGACAGAGATTCTTATTGCATGCATGGGTAGGATAGGTCTTGTATTTTATTTATTTATTTGGTTTGGTATGTTTGTGCCTTATGTTCTTTTGTATGTATGGTTGTGTGTTGTGTTTAATTGTGTGAGATTTTAAATTTTCAGTTTTAGACCCTATAGCCAGTGTTGACCCTCTTTTGCCAAGTCAGTTCAGGGATATTTGGTATAACATATGTTGGTGAACATTAACATCTACAACATTAGTATGTTAAGGCTCCTTTAGACCATAGAACTGTCCTTTAAAGCTATTCAATATCCAGACATCAGTGCAGATGATTCCATGTTGTGTGGGGATGCAGATCACTTAGTCATATTGCCAGAACACTGACATTTGTTGGTGAGACCATGCCCAGGAAGAGTCATGGAGATTGCAAAAATGTAATCAACCCACAGAAATGAATTGTCAACCTAATTTAAATTATTACAAAATTTTATCATCTTTTTCGCCTCGTCAGCATATCGCTTTTTGTTTCAGCACTTGATTATTTCTTGACTAACAAATGGAAAAGTTGTTACCACCAGAATGTTTAGTTCACAGCTTCTGACAGCTCTCAGAAACTCGACCCGCCTACATTTCCTCACATAGGCAAAGTTAAGGATCCTCAGACACATTACGTTGATAAAATTGTTTTTGTTTTAAAATTTGATTTTTTTATACATTTATCAAAACTTTTTGATGGCACATATTATGGTATGTTGCTGTTCATCCGGCATATCAACTTTTATTAGTCCACCCTCATCCATCCATTAATCATCGGCCCATCCGTCGTCCACCATAAACAATTTTTTTAACGCTATTTCTTGTACTGAACAGATCTCACTCAAAGTTCATGTATGTATGTTAGATGGATTTAAAACCACAACATATTTTATTGCCTTTTTATGAACAGTATTTTGATTCAACAATATCATAAACTTTTTAAATTTTCCATTCTTTTAAAACGTGGTATGTTTTAATTTGTCATCACAACATATCTCACTTATTTCTCTCTTGCCATTTTGACTCGATACATATATTAGAATATCCATTTGTATTCATTTAAACATAATATTTAGGTCGCAAACACTGATGGATTTTTTTTGCTTTTGGATAATAGTATTTCATGATCTTAATTCAAAAGAACATATAATACACAAGTATTATTCCAATAATATAACATTTGCAGTCATATTAATGTGCTACTAGGTAGTAAAAATATCATCCCCGCCAAATAAGGGCCTTTACAGTGTTTTTCTGTGGTATGGGATTGGCATATATTGTTCTGCTGCATGGCACTATTCTTCAATTATGTTGAAATAGAATGTGATGGCATGAACATAGACCTATAGCTTACCAAACAACCTGAAATTTTATCAAACAACATTGGAATTAAGGCTTCAAATTATTGGTGTTTTATGTTACACGTACATATATATCTGTATACTAAATTATTTTATATATCTGCCTTGCTATAAATCTTATTTATAACACACTAATGGTTTCAGGCATGTGTAAGTATTAAAATTGTACAGGGAATGTTCCAGTGTAATCGAAAACATATTAAAGATGTATAGGTGTGGCTATATGTAGACAAAAATGTCTATACTTGTAAGAAAAGTGATGATGTGACATCTTAATTGTCGGAGAACCAAGACTTACTGGTGTAGAGTTCTCACTTTCAGCGGCTACTAAGGAGACAGTGTGTCTATATGGGACAAGGATTTGTTTTTTAGTAACACTTTAGATTATCAGAGTGGTATTGTAAACACACTAATATTTTGAAAGATTGATCAAACCCTCTGGCTGTTTGGATTGATTTACTTCTTAACAACAGATAAAGAATTTTGTCATAAATTAAACTCTAGCTAATTTGAATTGTTCCCTAAAATGTGAAGTGACACTCAAATCCCTGGGGGTCTGGGTGGGTATTGGTGGAGCAATTGTCAGCTTGGTGGGGTTGGCAGCTGCTTGACTCCCTTGGGGGCACTGGTTACCATGACAACACACCAGTGAAAGGGAGTGTCACATACTCAAATTCAAAGTGTCACAGGGCACAGGTAAACCTGGTCAAACTAGGGTGCATATATCTATTAATAGATTTGCCCAGGGGTACAGTCAGGAAAGACTTTCAGCTATCCTATACATAACTATGTATTAGCTGAGACTGTTAATGATATGTCTTAGGGCACTCAGAGCAAAGATCTTTTGGTAATTGATTAATAAATTTGAGGGTGAAGTGTTGACATGTACTTTATTACTGGAACAAAATTAAAAACTTTGTTACCATCACAAATTTCAATTGAAACTTTATTGATTTTACAACAATTGCAAAACAAGTTTTTCCAACTTTATTAATTACTCTTGTTGGCCAAAATCGAAGCAGGTAAGGGGTCTTTCTGTGGGAGGAATGAAACCAGTGTACCCGGGGAAAACACATGTGGTTGGGCAGGTCACCTCATACTTTTTCATGTCTGTTCTGGTTCCCATATATCAAGATGAAACCACTGAACACCACACCACCAACAAATATATTTGTCTGCATCAGGTAAAATAATTCGGTATTTCAGGAAAAGATTTTGCAACTCTTTTTTAAATTTACTCTATTTTTGTGAGTTTTTTCCAATAATAGTTCTGCATTTCAGTATAGCTACAAATTTACATCGTATCTCCATATGGTTATGTTTTTTTCTGTGAATAAACCTCCATTGCCACAGACTGACATTAGCTTTGCCTCAAGTGAAATTTGTTTCAAAACAATTCCCTTGACTTAGATAAGTCAATATCTTATCACATACATAGAGGGAACCAAGTCTATTGGCACCACAATATTATCAATTTTAGTTTCTAGTCAAGGTCAGACTTTTTATGATTTCTAGGTAAAAATTTCAATGTTACAAGTTAACTGGAAGACATATTAATGTGCATCACCATCAACAGTCACTAATTAATATGCATGACAGATATAACTCAGTCGATTACCAGAATTTAAATTCCAGGTCAGAAACCTTTATGTTTTGTGACAAATGAAATTTCTTGTAATAGCAAGCTAGTGCATTCCTGATGTAACAGAGGATGGCCTTGAAATGAAAACAGGAACAATATAATATACTGTAGGTAACATTTATTTGTACAAATTTGGATTCCACTATCAACCATTCACACCCATATCAATCAAAGACAACAGGCTTATAAAAATTCATTTTTGTACATTGATTTCATTTATACACCTCTGATGTCACACCAAATCACCATTTACTCATACTCCTCTCTCTGTTACTTTCCTTAATCTCTTCAGAGTGTTCTATTAAATACAATTTTAATTCTACTAGATAATACCCAGTGAAAAGATTTGCCATCTTGAAACTAAAATGTCAGGTGAATTTTAACATGTACTCTCTAAACATAAGCAGCATGGAAATGTAACATACTCTCTAAAACAAATGTAGTATGGAAATGTAACCCTTTAAATCAACAATATATTTTTCGGTAAACAACACATGAATAATTAACAAGGACCCTGAGAATTATAATCAAGATCAATTTCAAAAAACAACCTTTAAATGTGCTTAAAACATCTACATGTATGTGAAATATGTGCTTGATCACCGGGTATGATACAAACATTTGTACACATGAGGTCAATATTGATAAAATTGCTGATATAAAAGTGATATAACCATGACCGTGTTTTTGAGAATAGCACCATTCTTCTAAGACCTGAGCCACATGTACAATTGACAAACACGTAATTAACAACTCCCTCGTGTATAAGGTGAGGCAACAGCAATAGAAACATACAAATGTAAAATACCTGAGTTCAAAGGTCACTTGTGTGAGACCTTTCATTAATAACATTGACTCTACTTTGTAAGCTAATTATATGAATTGTAGAGGAGTTTATCATTAAAACTTTAGGGGATTACTTTGAGATCCAAAATGAAAATTCTGAGGTTCACTCAGAACCATCACCAACATACTAATGTAAGATTTGTTGGATAATTTTTTGTCTTTGAAACTTTTTGAGTATTTTATTCTGTTCCAATATACACTTATTTATCCCAATGTAATAAGCCCAAGTGGGAAGGGGAGGGGTTGTCAACTCATCACTTCCTACACAGTCGTGAGGTGGGCTTATTAAAGGACAATAATACTGTTTTATGTGATTTTCATCAAAAATTATATTAATTACAATTACAAGACATGGTCTTATTTCCTTATTGCTACATTAAGAAGTTAACACTCTAATTATAATTATAAGACATGGGCTTATTTCCTTATTGCTACAGGAAGAAGTAGTTCACATTATTCTGGCTACTAGGCCCACAAAGTAACTTATATAAGTTTATACTAGTGTTTGTTAATTATCATTGTAAGCACATATGTCACTCATCAATACAATATCGTACAGTTTATTGACAGTAAAATCTCTCAACATGGTCAGTATATAGTCAGATAACGCTGAATTGTCAAACGCATTATCTTCTCTTACCAAAACAGTTCATATTTGTAAGTCTGAATGAAGCATGTAAGACAAAATATCAACTCTCAAGCTGACGAAATCAACGTTCTGTAGTTTGTTTACTATTCAAGTGGTTTTAAATTTTCACTGTTTTAAAAGATGAAATAAAATTAAACTGAAAATAAAGTAATAAAAACAGGCCAAGAAAAAATACATTTGTACAACCAGAATAGAAAATCTCTACAGCCATACTTCACAGAGTCTGGTAATGCTGGTGGATTGCATCCTTTGTAAGTCAAACTGAATCACAGAAACAAATGTCTCAACACACATCAGCAGTATAAAGGTTGTAAACAAAAAACACAGGTAACAACAATATTATTCATGATATGGATTACACAAAACTCTTATCAAGTATATACTTAACTGTAAATTTACTGTGATTTTTTCAGTCAAAATCAAATTTATTGTTTGAAATTAGTATTCTTAGAAATAAATTTCATAGTTGTCACAAAAAGTTAAAAGTAATTTCATTATTTAGCCTAGAAATACACATTTAAATGTTTTGGTGTGTTATATTCTATTATGTGTAAATTAAATACCTATAAAACCGAGCTGTTCAATTCCTGATAATGAAATAACAAGGAATAATTATTTGCCCATTTTAGGCATCATTATGTCCCTTTAATCACCATGGAAGCGGTGATGTCATGTTATTGTGCATACCACATGACCTATTACTTTTTGTAATATACAATAAGAACTATTGAAATCTTAATCTCTTTTGTATACAAAATTTTCAAATCTGACATTGGAATTATTGAAATTTTACACTGTGAAACAAATAACTAATATGGACAGGATTTCCTGGACATCAAACATTTTGTTTAGAATCTCTGGTGTTCTCTTTGTCTACTGTTTCCAACATATACTGCCAGTTTGAAGTAAGTCCTGTGATCAGGATGACAGTAAAAGAAATGATGAATATTTCTATCATTCACAATATTTGAGTCACATCTTTCACAAGGTCATATGTTAATCATTTATCAACTTGTTTTATACAGCTCTTAGATTTTTAAGAAACAGGAAGCAAAACAGCCATTGCTTTGTACTTGATTTACCGTATGTATAAATGAGAGGTTATTCTTTAAGGTATCATGGGCAAGGGTTTTTCCATAATTTTTGTTGGATTCTATTAAAAATTCAACATAGCTGTATAAAACACTGTATGGCTTTGGAAAAAACAGCTCTTGAATATATTCCAATATATAACAGTTGAATGATGGTATTGACATATAAATATAGTCACTTTGAAAATGAAAATCAAAACAATATGACAGTATCCTTGAACACAATTGAGCATTGGACGTGCTTCAGTTTTACTGCACAATTTATATACACACTAGTTACGGGTTATACAGCATACATCGTAACTTTTCTATCTCACTCTTGAGCAAAGAGACCTCTGTCCGTAACTGTAGGTTTTCCTGTTCAAGGAACACAACCCTAAGAGCAATTTGTTCTTCCTTCATACGCCTTGCTTCGCGCGATCGTTTGGCGGAATCATTGTTCTTTTTTCGTTTATCCCAATATAATTCATCCTTTTGACTATCCGGTACAGAAAGAGGTCGTTTCTTGGGTGGCATTTTAAAGTTAGGTTCCCCATCACCATTTCCAAGGTCTAAGTGCCCCCCAGAGGTATTACTTCCTGTGGAGGAAGGGGAATTTAAATCAGAATTGTCTGCGTCTTCATCCACCTCATGTTTCACCATGGAGTTTGGAAGAGGTGGACTTGTTGGTACATTTGAGGTCAAGTGAGACATAGCCATATTACCAATGGACTTCATTGTGGCGTGCATGTCACCAGTGTTCGTTGTAGTAGGGGTGTGATGTAATGTGTGGCTCTGAGGAATCGGGGACAAAAGGTCCTGACTATTGCTGGATGACACAAGAGAATAATCCAAACCAGCAGAAGAAGGCCCAGCACCTTGCATAAGTCCAGCCAGGTCTGTATGGCTCATGGTGTGAGATGGGGCAGGATACCCCATCCCGTAGTATGATGTAGGGACACTTCCATTTCCTGCTCTCACATTGGTGCTGTAGGGTTTGAAGAAACGGTCGTCACGGTGCATCATAGCAGAGTACGGATCCTGCATGGTGCTTTGTAGATGTGACGAGACTTGGTACACTGTTTATAATTTGTCAGCTGGGAGGTCACTCTGGCGTTGATCACTAGTCACTTCTCATCATTCTGAAAGACATCAATTATTAATTGTTTAAAGGTTGAAGGGTTATGTTACATGTGCATAATATGTAGAATATCTTACATGAATTTCCATTTCATTTTCATTGACCTTGACATTTGTATGGAGTATCAAGTGACAAAAATCTCAGATGTTATAAATATATGGGTAGTAAGTAAAATTCCCTAAAACAGTATGTTTTCACATTGGAGAACTCCAGGATATAGTAATATAATACTGTGTTCATTTTCTTGTGTTAGAGGTTGAGATGATATCATTGGTTGTATGGATGAAGACAGATAAGATTTTCATCATTTCCAAAATTTACTTGAATTTTGAAATGATTTTAGGACATTTTCCTTCATTATTGTGTTTACATAGTGGGCTGTGATATATTCAATCCATATGGAAAGGGTAGGTGTGTTTATCCACAATCACTTACATTACAGAACAGGTCTATATACCCACAATCACTTACATTACAGAACAGGTCTATATACCCACAATCACTTACATTACAGAACAGGTCTATATACCCTATATACCCACACTTACATTACAGAACAGGTTATATACATCACTTACATTACAGAACAGGTCTATATACCCACAATCACTTACATTACAGAACAGTTCTATATACCCACAATCACTTACATTACAGAACAGGTCTATATACCCACAATCACTTACATTACAGAACAGGTCTATATACCCACAATCACTTACATTACAGAACAGGTCTATATACCCACAATCACTTACATTACAGAACAGTTCTATATACCCACAATCACTTACATTACAGAACAGGTCTATATACCCACAATCACTTACATTACAGAACAGGTCTATATACCCACAATCACTTACATTACAGAACAGGTCTATATACCCACAATCACTTACATTACAGAACAGGTCTATATACCCACAATCACTTACGTTATAGAATGGGTCTGTATACCCACAATCACTTACATTACAGAACAGGTCTACATACCCACAATCACTTACATTACAGAACAGGTCTATATACCCACAATCACTTACATTATAGAATGGGTCTGTATACCCACAATCACTTACATTACAGAAGGTAACTCACAATGACTATCCACAGTTAACGGATCACAGTTAATCATTCTTGGAATGCAGAACTGTATAGTTTATATTACAGTACTGTTCATCACTTGACACCACTGACATCTCACTCATTACAATGTGTAAGTAAGTGAACCTTGTACAGATAGTTACACTTATGTGAATACTTCTCCATGGTGACTGTAAAAGGTTGATAAATGATAAGTTTACAACCAGAAAGATATTAACATATAAATTCCTAATCAGAAGTATCTTGGCTATTAAAATGTAAATTTATCCATTCATTACACAAAATTTTAAAAAATGTGATATTAATTAATGTTAGTAATAAAATTTGTTGAGATGAACATCTATTATTTTAAAATATTGTATTTGTTCTAATAATTGCCTGTATGCTTATAATCACACATGACCTTCTTTGAAAGCTAAGAAAGTTGGAAAATAGGTGTTTTAGACATTTTTATTTAGCATTTATGCACTTTTAGATCAAGTTGTTTCTTAAATAAAAGTGGTAACCATTATAAAATATTGGGTAATATTGAATATATATTTGACAGAAATCCAATTAAAGATTAGAAACCTTGACCATCATGCAGTTCCCTGATAAAACTGTCAGACCTACTTATAACCTCATAGAGCTTGAAATAACTCTGGTTTGGAACTTTCTTTAAGATGCCCATGATGCACCTCCTATTGACCAGTGTCCTTTGGTTGGGTCATCTTGACCATATGTAATAGTGCCCTGAGTTAATAAACTGGGTGTTCCAAGAGTAATAAACAGGCAATATGAATCAATAATTCCAATAAGCTGGATCTTAACACAACCAAGGAGACAAGCAATATTGAATCACTACATATGTATTCCCCCTGTATGGCCCCAGAATTGACCACTGTGTTGTAGGTCACACTGACCAGTAAACATTCTGAGCCAGCTGTAGCCTTAAAATGATAAAATTCCATGCAATTTTGTCCAAATATTCAGCATTACCTTCCAAGGATGGCCAGACCTGTTACACTGACCACTTCACAAAATTTTGGTGTAGTGAATCCAATCTAGCACTATGTCCATAGGAGAAATGTAGTACTTCCTGAAAATGTCACTGACCATCCAGTTGTCCACCCCACTTACTAGTCCAGTGAATGACCCTGTTACCAGTGGTCAATCAACATTACACAAAGTTTGCACAGCTATCAACTGACCAATTAATATAGAGTATTTTCCAAGTGTGACCTCTAACCCCTAGGCTGTTTATTTATAGCCAAGTCATGTGATCCTTTAGCCCAACCAGCAATGTTGAATAATTCAAGATAACAAAGAGAGCACAATGTTAGCTAATGGCCACTCCAGTCTGTCCAGTATAGACTGACCATGTGCTCTCACACTACACTGACCACTGACAATAGGGATTACCTGTAAGCATTGAAAAGTGCTCTCTCTGAACTGATCAATAGTTATTATTTAGCAAGTGTGTTCCTGTGTGTTGTTTCAGGTAGAACTTAGTTGTACTGGCAACAAGACTAAAATACTGGCCTCTGTAGAGACTTGTTTACCAACAAATTAAAACATTAAAGCTCAGATAGTGGTTCTAAAGATCTTATCAACAATGGATCCATTCCACCAGCTTTTTGGATCAAGAATAAATTTGATATGTTATTTACAGAAATCCTCCCAATTTTATTGATTTTATTTGATAAATAATATTAATTAAGTAGCCCTTAATTCTGATGGTAGTCATTAAAATGTTGTTAAAATGACTGAGGTGATAATTAATGTTCAAATTATAAAACTTATTTTTACCTGTTGTTAGAGAAAATTAAAATGAGATCCTTCTTGTTAAAATAGAGCGTTTTACTGCTATATAATTAAGAGAAGAAAATTTCTATAGGTTTGAAAAAAACAAGAGTGTTTGGCAGTTTTCATTAGTGGGAAGATATTGCTTGTAATTTTCATGCATCAGTTAATATATATATGTATAATACTGTGTGTATATATATATAATTGCATTGATTTTAGGGATAAATTTATACATAATTACCAGGTATTTCTGTGAACAGAGGCAGAAACATATTACCCTAAATATGCTGAGTGTAGGATTTAGAACAGATAGCTTCAGGGAGTCATTATTTTTATTTAGGTTTTAAAACCAAATATGCTTGTTTTTGTACATTTTAGTGGCAGGTTTTCAAGTACCTTCACATACTTGTTTTGTGATTGACACTCTTTAAGGATCTTAAGTAGGATCTGAAATATTCTTCCAGGAACTTAAAGCTGTCATAGAAAGGATATAAATCATGGGTCAATGTCAGGAAGCTGTGGAGCAAGGCCAGTGGGACTCTGGTCACTTCCAGTGGTCAATCATTGTCGCCATGGCATCATACAAATTAGCCAGCACTGGACTGTCATGTCAGCTGACATAACCATTCATCAATATATGCATAAGTGGAAATAGCCCTGGGTGGTCACTGGTGGTGGTCAACATACAGTACTGATGGTCGGTATTGATGGTCACTTCCTAGTGCTCAGAGAGTCCAACTGCATCCTGACAAATTATTTTCTTACAAATAAATTACTCTAAACAGGGATGTATAATACAGTATTATATGTCCCTGCTGTAAATAATTTGTGAAAAACAGATTTCTTTTTTTTCTGCAAACTACATTCAAATTGCACATTGATCTGTGTTGATAATTACAGTGCTGTACTTGGTATAAGATTTTCAATCTGTAGCTAAACTGATGTTTAGTATATCATTAATTCCATTTCTAACAGAAAATAAGTTTTGTATCCCTGATCTTGGGCCATCTGCCTATACCATGCAATATCTGTGTAGTTAATATATCTCTGTTGTCACTGCCTAGGAGCTGATTTGTATGTCTGCATTGTTAAGGAGTAAACAAATTCTCTGTTATTGATTGATTAGTTAAATCATTTTCCTTTCCTTATTGGCTTATTGGTAATCATGTTTCTAACCACCTATCTCAACACGAAGTCAGAATCTCTTGTATTTATTTATCTTCAATACTCAGTATGCCTCACCAGCTATGTAAATGCTTGTGTATGGTGTATAACCTCCCAGGGAGTGAATGCCCCAGTCCTTTTGTTTGTATCCCTCTGCAATCTTACTCTCAGTGATGCAACCCCAATAGCACCAGTCAATTGATCAGTGTTATGGCTATCTCTATAACACATTCTGTTCAGAATGTTTGGACAGAGGTCATTTAACTGGACATTAAATCAACAGATGACTGAAGGTTACACCATTGTGACCTTAGTCAAGGTCAGATGATGCAGATCTTGGTTGAACTGACCTTAGATGACTTGTCCCCAATAAAAATCTCCAATGGTATTATAACCTTGTCTTCCATCAAGAAAAGCTCCTCTTCAGTCTAACTGGGTTTGTCATCATTTTAATGTGGTACCTATGCAACAAAATATTCCAGCCACGAAAAAGTCAAAGGTTTTGATCTAACATATATAGGGTCCGTAAGTTTGGAACATTAAATCCATTTTCTACTGATCTCTGTATTCTCTCACTGAGATAATCCTTATTTCTTAACACTGTTATAAAAAAAGAGAAATGAAAGTATGTGAATTGTTGAGATATTTTCTCAATTTGAGATGTTCCAGCATGGACTTTCTAAGTCTGTACATAGTTCCAATCAGGTTATGGCCAGCTTCTTAAAAATAAAGCATCTTTTTGCACAAATTTTGAGATATCTTTGAGATAGGTCACTTTTCGTAGCGTTTATCGTTGTGTTTGTTAGTTACAGACAAGTCCCCATTAAAGTCTGAATTAGCAGTTATTGTC